GGGCATGCGGTAGTGCAGGTTGTGGAGAAGGTGGTATGCCCCCTGGTGGACAGAGCGGGTTGGGTAGTACATGGTTACCTGAAATTAACATGAGAATACAGCAGTCAAGGCCCTGTGATTCCTTCATGGAGCCAGCCGAGATCCTGTCTGAAAGTAGCCATCTTCATAGACCTCGTGGAGGGACTGACTGGCATAGACGGTGTGCCAGGTGCTTGGCTCAGTGACCAGAGCAGGCAGTAAGGAGCGGCCGGTCAGGTGGACTGGAGTGGCAGGGTTGCCAGGGAGGCTGTAGGGTGGGTAGGGAACAGAGAACCAGTCCAGAATGGTCGGAGTGATATCTGCCAAAAAAGAGAGGGAGAAGAAGAGAAAAGGCAAGACAGAATGAGAGAGACGGAGTCAAAATAAGAAACAAGTACCTCACCTGCTGCACTATGTTACATTTGAATTTAATGCTATTACACATAATAGTTACAATTTCAGAAATTCTGAAAGACTGCACATGTACTCTTTATAAGCTTCTGCTATTGCATACGGCATACAGAGTGCCATATTTTTATTTGGTCACCGCTGTCCAATGAAAGCCAAGTGTTTCTTTAAAGGTTGACAGAATTCTCTTAATTCCCAAGATAAATAAAACATTTAAAACTCATTTGATTGCCTGAGTAATGCCTTGTCACAAAGCTAAAAAAAAACAACACAAAAGTTCATTTTGGACAGACGTGAATTTTACAGGACAAATATTCTGATTTCAACATTTTTAACTTTAACCTGCATTGTATGCTTGAATATTTTCCATTATTTCAGTCTATTCCTTGTTTTATAAATATATTCTGCAGATATTTATTTGACAGCTGTCTACATTTTTTGTTATTTATTTTTATTTATTCACTATTACCCACTCAGGGGATCATTTTCAGTCTTTCTTTATCTGCCACAGATGCATCGTTGTCTAGTCTCCCTCTTGTGGCAGATTAGATGCATGTGATAAACTCATTGACCTCCCTGTTTGTCTGTGTGAGTCAGTATAAGTAAGTAAGTAAGTAAGTAATTTTTATTTATATAGCACCTTTCACAGACAGAGTCACAAGGTGCTTTACAAAGTCAAAGGATAAAAGAGATAAATAATAAACATAAAAAATACTCACAAAATAAAATGAATAAACCCAATCAATTAAAAACTGTCTAAATAAATGTGACTTATATAGCACCTTTCACAGCCAGAGTCACAAGGTGCTTTACAAAGTCAAAGGATAAAAGAGATAAATAATAAACATAAAAAATACTCACAAAATAAAATGAATAAACCCAATCAATTAAAAACTGTCTAAATAAATGTGACTTATATAGCACCTTTCACAGCCAGAGTCACAAGGTGCTTTACAAAGTCAAAGGATAAAAGAGATAAATAATAAACATAAAAAATACTCACAAAATAAAATGAATAAACCCAATCAATTAAAAACTGTCTAAATAAATGTGACTTATATAGCACCTTTCACAGCCAGAGTCACAAGGTGCTTTACAAAGTCAAAGGATAAAAGAGATAAATAATAAACATAAAAAATACTCACAAAATAAAATGAATAAACCCAATCAATTAAAAACTGTCTAAATAAATGTGACTTATATAGCACCTTTCACAGCCAGAGTCACAAGGTGCTTTACAAAGTCCCAGCCTGGGGGTAGGAACCCCACAAGGGGTGACAAGATGAATCTGAATGTCACAAGATGATTAAATAAAAGAAAAAAACATTTCAGCAAATAAAATGATGTAAATTATTTCTAACTTTTACATTTTTTTTCTCAGATACTCGTACTTCTTTAGCCTGTCCAAATCTAATTGAAATAAAAGTGATAGTGAAAAATTCACACTCTTTAGTTGAAGTGCTCAAAACCTAGGAAAATAACCTCTGAAGAATTAGATATTGCTTTAATTGGCCCCAAGCCAAAAAATGTTGGGAGCCACAGATGTAAGTACTACACTGGAACCTGCTCCAGACCTATTTGTTAAATATGTCTTTTAAAATCAGGATTCTCTGCTGTTTCTTTCCTCTGTTTCTTACCCAGCAGGCTGACATAGGCCTGGCTGGTGTCTCCCCATCGCTTCCTGTGCTCTGGAGAGGACATCAGCATCGGCTCTGCTGTTCCTGAGTGATACAGGTTGGTTCTGCCATTAGGGAAGGGGATGCCGTTATCTGAGCTGTAGATGACCAGAGTGTCGTTCTCATAACCGGCATCCCTGAGCTCCTGAAGAACTAATCCAATACCTGCAGAGGAAATTTACACCGTTCTAGTTCAGTGTTTTACAAGGTTTCTCTTTCTCTGTGTAAAATGTTGTTACATACCCTGATCCAGCCTGCTAACCGTGGTGTACTGTGCAGCCAAGTCCAGTCGTGCTGCAGGTGTGTCTGGCACAAAAGGAGGAACCTGAAGTACACAAGATGAGGACAGATCAGATTAAGCTTGTTATGTTTTATGGATCAACATGAGTCAAAGTGGCCATTAGATGTGTTTTCTATTACACTAATATGAAGGAAATAAAATCTTAGGATGTGTGATTTTTGTTGCAGATGATAGAATTTTATATCAAATTAACAGCGGTAGTAGAAGTGTGATTAGTAAAAATACAAATCAGTAATATGTGGGAATCACACTCTGATTGGCATTGATGGAAGATAGAATAATCAGTTATACAGTATAAAACTAGCTAGAATTAAATGTGTTTTTAATCGCACAAGTGTGTAGAAGGGATCTAAATTGGGAACAGTTATTTGTCCACTTGGCACAATCTGCTTGACTATAGCATTAAGCATATATGTAATGCCTGAACTAAGTATCAAAATCTGTTTCTTCAAACCTCCATCTCCACATTTCCCCTTTCAATTCTACCACAGGTATTCATTTGTATTAAACAGAGGTAAAAAAAAATCTTTGTCTCTGACCTTTACTTGTTCTGGAGTATAATATACTGGTGTCCAATCAGGAATTCTGCCCATCCCCATTTCACCATTCCCAAACTTCTCACAAAAAGCTCCATACTGGGGCTGTGAATGTCCACATCGGTGGATGTCATGGAAAGCAACATAGAGGAAAAATGGTCTCTCTTCCTCTTTTCTTTCTTCTCTATCACTGTTATTCTCTTCTTTCTTTCGCCTTCGCTCAAACGCTTCTTCTTTATGTGTCTGGAAAAACTTGCGGACCAGGAGTTTGATGCGGGTGATGTTCCTCCCCACCTGGAGTACAGAGCTGTTTTCTTCTGTGTAGGCAAAATCAAAAGGATATACGGATCCAGGACCAACATGCTTCTTCCCAATTATACCTGCAGGAATGAGTGTAAAAAAAAAAAGAAGACAGAACTGGAGATACTGTGTGTGGGCATAGACTTAAAATTAACTAGTCACTCGTAGTTGTTTACCTGTGTGTATGTTGGCTTGGCTGAGGAGCAATGGCAGACTTTGAATTCCATCAAATGAGTTAAAGTGATGGACATCCTGATGAAGCCCGTACATGCCATTCTGATGCTGAAAACCCAGGATAAACACACCTCAGTGCTGTGCCTTCATGAACACGTGAGCGGTATCCGTGTGTGTGTGTGTGTGTGTGTGTGTGTGTGTGTGTTACCTGCGGCAAGCCAGTGAGGATGGTGGAGCGGCTGGGTGAACAGCTGCTGACAGAGGTGAAGGCATTTCTGAACACCAGGCTGCGCAGTGCCAGAGAGCGCAGATGGGGAGTGTGCACCACAGAGTTGTTATAAACCTCCGTTTCAAAACCTGCATCATCAGCTGAAGGAGGGAAAACACAACAACTCATCATGATGTGCGCACTGAAAGCAGGTGGATTGCTCACTATTTCTGGTTGCATTGGACAAATGTGGGCAATTTTGTAAATCCATGCATTTCATTGGATTTTATTTGATTTTTGGATCAGTCAATCAGGTCATTCAGTATCTTATTTAATTAAAGAAATCTAGCTTATTTTGTATGTATCTGTTATTCTTTCCCTTACAGCTCACTCATATGTCTGTCATGGTGTGTAAAGCATTAATTAAATATGGGCACAATATGGGAATATACTATTAGTATGATGAAAAAATATTCCATTATTTTTAATTTTAAAGATCCAAAACAACCACAATAACCAGCACAGCACAAATAAATGCTTTTTGCATTATTGTGCTGAAGTAATTTGTCACATATTTAATTTCCTACATTAGCCGACAACACGATAACATACAGGTATTTTGTCTATGAACAGATCCTCAATTGAATTGCCAGGTAATTTACTATCATAATTAGCAGTATATCATATTGTAATACTGCATAACAGAACACATACATAAGACATGATTTTTATCAACAAAACTGAACAGTATGGTCTTTATAAGGAGAAGGTTTACTGCAGGACTGTTGTGTTAGACTGGATTAGTTAATGCTAGCTGTACCCGATAAACTAGCAATGAAAATGTTGCTATCAATTTGAAAAGTCATCTTAAGTCTTGAAAAGTTTTAAGTCTTGCCACGATCATGTCTAGAAACGTTCACTCACCAATTATTAGAAGAACATGTCTTCTCTTTGACTCTCCGACGCAACAAGATGTCAAAATGAGAAAAAACAACTCAAGTAGCATGATGTCTTTTCTGTTATCCAATTATCTCGCCTCAGTCTCAAAGTCTCTGCCGGTTTGGCATTGAAACATTTAACATTCGAAACAATGACATTTATAAAACAAGACAAAATGAATTCATCTACCAAAATTAATGCATAAAAGGATCTAAAATGACCAGAAGACCGTTATACCAGCTACATTTCCGAAGTCAAACAATACTTGACTCGCTTTGTCTTCCGCAAACAACCTAAGCCCCGCCTACCGGTGGTCACATGACAGCTGTCTCGTGAGGAGAGGAAAAGGGAACCCCTCGCGCCTCATCAGCAAAATGACAAATGTTAGGAAGTGGTTTTAGTGTGAGAAACAAAAGCACTGTGACACAAAATGACCTGAGAAATCACTGCTGACAGAGGCCAGGAGCGGTGCCGGGCAAGAGGACACGCAGGGTGAGGGTTTCTGCTTCGTTGACTTACTCTCCTCTTCTGTTTTATTCAATTTGTCTTTTTTCTTTTCTACTGTGTTGCATTCTGTTTTATTGTGGTGTTTTTCTGTTGTTCTGTTAGGCTATGACTTTTTCTTTCTATTTTGTCGCGCTGTTTTTCTCTGATATTCTTTTGCGTTGTTTTATGTTCTGTTCTTTGTTTTTAATTTTAATTGTTACTTTACTCACTGTTCCCCTTCATTTTATTCTGTGTATTCTATGACAGTTGCACATCGCAGTTATGTTTAAAGTTTGTAAAAGCAGCAGCAACTTATTGTTCACTCAATTGTATAGGAATATTGTGGCGGCGGCGATGGTGAAGTTCGGGAGATGTGTTGTTTATTTTTTCAGTGTTTTCTTTAGAGAGCACATTGTGCCAGTTTGGACAGCGTTTTCATTTGTCTCCATACCGCGTTCAATAAAACCACAAAAGACAAACCAGGTGTTCTCCTCCTTGTTGAGCCAGGTGCCGGCACACTGCTGGCTAGTTAACTGTCTCAGTGTAGGACAGGGTAAGGCCAGCTGATGTGTTGCTTATTCTTTCATTATTTTCTTTAGAGAGCACATGGTGCCAGTTTGGACAGCGTTTTCATTTGTCTCCATACCGCGTTCAATAAAACCACAAAAGACAAACCAGGTGTTCTCCTCCTTGTTGAGCCAGGTGCCGGCACACTGCTGGCTAGTTAACTGTCTCAGTGTAGGACAGGGTCAGGCCAGCTCCTCTCAACCGAGCCAGCGGTCGTCACAATATTATAGCCTAGATTACATAAGAAAAACACAAGACGATAGAGGTTTTTTAATAAATCATACACTGTATGATGAAGTTACTTTTGATTACATAACAGAAAGACTGTAGATGACTGTGGTTATCCGCGTGTTAAGTGGTGACGTAACATTTCGTGGTGACGTAACATTTCGTTTCCGGGTCCAACTTCGGTTCGTTCTCCTCTTCTCCATATCACCGGCTTTGTTTTTCCCCGCTGTTTCAGTAGATCTGAATCAGAAATCCCAGGTCAGCTGTCATTTTGCAGCTTTCCTTGCGATGGGAAGGAGAAAAAGAAATGGCAATGATTAGATAAGTCACAGTATTCTCAAATTAAGCTTCTAAAAGTGCGCTGTTTTGCTGCCTTGTAACGTTAGCTAGCTAGTTAGCCTCAAGTTAATGTAAACACTATACATTGACACATTTTACACTGATGAAAGTAACAGTAAAAGCTGGGAACAATTAAAAACGAGTTAGACATAGAACACTATAGATGTATGGTTACATATTGTAATTAATTTACAAGCTGAAGGGGAACACGGACTATTTGAATCTTGAAAATGTAGTCGTGTTTTTGCTCTCAGTGATGCCTCGCTAAAGAAAAAACGATGCTATTGTGTGGAGGGTGACGGACTCTGCCACTTGGGTCTGGGGGACATCACACTTAACAAGTGGATTATAAAACAATACCTGGTCAGAGACGGGTCCTGTGCAAAGCAACGGCCCGTCATGTGATCACCATCCCATCTCTCAAGGTAAGAAGTGTCATCAGGTGACCATAATAAAATACCAAACAGACAGCAAGTGGTTATCACGTAGTTAACTTTTTGTTTTACTGCAGGATTTTCCATCACCCACAGATCACAGCATGCATTTGAGGACAGCCTACAGCCCTTATTTTTTCACAATGAAGGTGGCAACCCTTAGTACCACCAGCCTTGTATGAGGGTGTTGGGTTTCTAGTGAATAATACAACAAAAGAGGTACTTTAAACAGTTGCTTATTAACTCATAATCACCCTATTGCTCTAAAAAATATAGCAATTAGATTAATTTCCCAAATGGTTCAGCCTTTCTCTCAGGAGGCTAATAAAACAACATTTCCCAAAAGCCCATGAGTGACATTTAAACCGAAGGAGGAAATTTAATTGCTCTGTGTATTTTATTCTATAATCCACCTACTGAATATGTGAACCGTTTTTTTTTTTTTGTTTGTTTGTTTTGTGTGCACTCACAGGTGTGTTGTCCTCTTTTCTGCTGTCAGCCTCCCCTTCCAGGCACTCAGCCGTGACTCCACTGTGATGGACTGGCCTCTTATGAGATGGGTGTCAGCCCAGGGCTGCTGCTCCTACAGCACCCTGAAGGCCTGGCTGCCTGTCCTGTCCTGGCTGCCCAGGTACAAGCTGCAGTGGCTTCAGATGGACCTGCTCGCAGGTCTCACCGTCGGGCTGACAACCGTACCACAGGTGCTGGCTTATGCTGAAATAGCTGGCCTTCCGGTGCAGGTGAGTTCCAGCCTGTTTGTCTGTAAGGAGTCAGCACTGAACTTTAATTTAGATTCATCTCTCCCCAGATATCTCAGCTGGCTTACCTTTAATCAGCCAGGCTGTTACCAAAAGGAATTATAAGAGGAAATGGAGTGAACAAGTGTGCAATCCCTCCATTCTTCTAGTCATTTCTTTTTGACTGCAGAGAATTCAAATCATGATGTTCAATTTTGGTTTATTGTCCTTTCGGAAATTATTATTGTGTCTGTGGCAATTGTCAGGCAAGTACCCTAAATTACACATTAACACAACACAGGCGAGTATACACACCCCATACAAACATCACACATATCACACACCACAATAAACCATCGTTCACAAAGTTTTATTCAGCAGCTTTATACTGTAGGGTTAATAGATCCCTGGGCACATGCAGTCATCAGCAGTACATGTGCCTGTTAGTAACATCCTGTATCGTTTTTACTGGTCCTTTAGATTTCATCTACATAAAGATCATCATCTTTAGTTATTCATCAATACAACTGAAACAGTTACTTATAGTTAATTGACAATATTTGTCGGAAGCCATTTTGAGAATCAATCCTTCTACAAGCAAAAAATGCCAAATATTTGCTGTTTCCAGCTTCTCAAATGTGAGCATTTCTGATTTAGTTTTTCCTTTTCTGTTCTGTAGTATTGCAAAATGGGTCATTGAACTGTTAGTCAGGCAAAAACAAGACATATGAAGATGTCAGCTTGGGTACATGTCTCAAACAGAGATTTAAGGTGAGCAGAATGAGACTTTTCCCCTTCTGCCGATGAAAGCGCCTCTGCACACACTTGATTCTACGCAGTAAGGATCAAATTTCTAAGTGAGATAGCAATAAGGAAACATTTCTGAAGAGAGGGGAAGGTCAAACACTAATGAAAAGAATTCTCAGTTGTAGCTCTGTTTCCTCTCCACAGTATGGGCTCTACTCAGCTTTCATGGGGGGGTTTATCTACACTCTCCTGGGGACCTCTAAGGATGTGACTCTGGGTCCCACAGCCATCATGTCCCTCCTGTGTTTCTCCGTGGTGGGGGGGCAGCCACACCGAGCCGTGCTGCTCAGCCTCCTCTGTGGACTTATCCAGGCTGCGATGGCACTGCTGAGGCTAGGTGAGGAGAGGGCTGCTGAGAACATGTGGAAAGCTTATGAAAAAGTTTTGGTGGTTTTCTTCCTTGTGCCAAAACCCCCGACCAAAGTGGATGAAGTTTTACCAGAATACAAATGAGATCTTATTCACAATGTGATACATTGCTTTAGCACTGACATTTTAGTGCCATGTCTTCCAGTCTGAAAAAATTTGGGTGAGCTCTGCATCAAAACCCAATTCAAATTTATTGAAAAAAAGGGTTTGAAAAGAGAGAGAATCATGTACAAACTAACAAATGTTAGGGACGGAAGTGCACAGACACAAACAGGATATTGGTTTGTCATCGCAGGAGAGTTGCTCCCTAACACGATATCTACGACTTCCTCTGCTTAACCACAAACAGTTTCTGTGAAGTGTGTTGATTTCTATCGTGCTTCTATGTTTTGGAACAAATCGTTGATTCCCTTGCTCGTCTTCTACAGGGTTCCTCTTGGACTTCATCTCCTTCCCTGTAATAAAAGGCTTTACTTGTGCTGCTGCAATAACAATCGGCTTCGGCCAGGTCAAGGTGAGAGCTAAGCACATGCACACACTGGTCACATGTACATACACACGGAAACTAAAAGCACAACACACACATACAGTTACTTATCCCAATACAAATGAAATAAATGTGTTTATCTCAAAGAACAAAATGGCTGATACATTTTCTGTTTTGTTTTTTTTCTTTGTACTGTCAATATGGGTGTGGGATTAGCGTTAATTAGTCACTATTGGTTCTGTCTAAAAAGCTCCTCTTGATCACCCACTGTGTTTCTAGTTTGACCAGATCTAATAGTTTTAGCTGATGGCGGTGCTGCCCTTTCTCTCTCTAGAATATTCTGGGTCTCAAGGATGTTCCTCAGGCATTCTACCTGGAGGTTTACTACACCTTCTACAAGATCCCCGAGGCCAGGATAGGCGACGTGATCCTGGGTCTGCTTTGCCTCGCGCTGCTTGTCATGCTGGTGTTAATGAAGCAGAGTCTGGGCTCCGACTATGCTCCCGTCTACATCAGAGCTGCCAGGAGTTTAGTGTGGGCTCTTTCTACCAGTTAGTATTTGTGTGGTTGTGAGTGTGTCTGTGTGTGTGTGTGCGCGCATCCGTCTGTCCTGTTTACAAGAACCTACATGAATGACAGTGTTTCACATTTACAACAGTTAACACTAAACCAGGTCCACATTTTTTTTTTGGGTCTGCACTTTGTTTTAGCTGCATGTTTAACTTTTCTGAAATGTTGCATCTTTTCTCTGTTCTGCTCTGCCTTGGTCAGTGCGCAACGCTCTGGTGGTCATAGCTGCATCTTTGGTGGCTTATTCTTGGAATGCTTATGATCATCCAGTGTTTACAGTCACTGGGCAAACTACCCAGGGGCTCCCTCCGTTCAGGCCCCCACCCACCTCAGACACCACAGTCAATGGCACCATTGTCTCCTTTGGAGAGATTGTAGAGGTAAGGAGCAAAGGGGAAGGCAGCTAGCTAAATAACTTGGTTGCAACTTTCACTTCTTGAAATCTCTCCAGTTCCTGAGACATGCATGTGACTGTCTGACTGACCAGTCTTACCAGTTCTCCTCTTTTTTTTGTACAGGGCTTTGGAGGAGGCATTGCTCTAATTCCACTCATGGGGCTTTTGGAGAGCATTGCAATTGCAAAAGCTTTTGGTAAGTGGTTTTAGATAATATCAGTTTGTCAGTTAGTCCCACACTTTGGTCCAGACTGAAGTATCTCAGCAACTATTGGATGGATTGCCATTAAATTTTGTACAGACGTGGTTTTGTGATCAAGTGGCTTTTTCTCTAGCTCCACTATGACATTGACATTTGTGATTTTTAGTCTGGGATTGAAATTTGTATTCAATGAAATTTGATACATGTTTAACTCCTTGGGATTAATAACTTTGTTGCTCATTTGTCTTTCCCTTTAACACAATCATCAAGCCAACATTTTATTTTAACACTTTGGTTTATGACTAAATATATATAAAACAAATGACATTTCCCATTAGTCTCAACTGTACTGTGCTTTGTGCTGATTTTAAAATGTTAGTAAACCAACATGTTGCACATGATAAATTTTACCTTTTAAATATCGGCATGCCAACATTAGCATTTAGCTCAAAGCACCATTGTGAGCACAGCCTCACTGAGAAGCTGAAATGGCTGCAGATTCTTCTCTTTTCACTTCCTTCAACAAGTCATTATCAGTTTATGCAAAGATCAAGTTCAAAGATTTTTATTGTCTATTCACTATATGTGCAGGACATACAGATACTTGAAATACCGTTTCTCACCTAGTATTGAAAGGCATTTATTGTTGTTGTTGTTGTTGTTGTTGTTGTTATTATTATGTGAACCAAAAACTATATATAAATATTTAGTAAAATGGGTCATGTTGCAGAAGCACTTTTGTATACTTTATACCAGCATCAGATAACCAAGGCAATGATCGTGCTTCATCTGACTGTTGGCTGATCTTTAACTTCCTGTTTCTCCTCAGGAAGTCAGAACAACTACAGGATCGATGCCAACCAGGAGCTGCTGGCGATTGGTGTGACCAACATCATGGGCTCTTTTGTGTCAGCCTACCCAGTTACTGGCAGCTTTGGAAGGTTTGTGTGTCCACACCCATTAGCACTCACAATGCAGAGACCGAAACCTCTCTACACACTCATACTGTAGGGACTTGGCCTTCCTCATGGGGATCAGATGCATGGAAACTTGTGTGTGTGTGTGAGGGAGAGAGGGAAATAAAGCTCATATGTCAAATCTTTACATGTTTCCTCTTCACATCCAGAACAGCAGTGAACTCACAGACCGGGGTTTGCACTCCAGCTGGAGGGATCGTCACCAGTGAGTCATGTCACTTGCAACCTTCACTTTCACTGTTCTGCCCTCTTGTGGTGGTCTGTGTTATCATAAATAATCCTGGCTTCTCTGTCTCCACAGTTGAGATGGAGAGTGTCATCGTACAGATCAGAAATAGAAGTGTTATGGGAAACAGAAAAACAGGCTTTAGTTGATATAGACAGATAACAAAGATGATATTAATCTTTAAACAGACATTTCAGCATGTGAACATAGTCGCCCTATAGTGTATGTTTTAACACGGTGAAGGTAAACACAGAGGGTTACTAATAATTTGGCTTTTGTTTCAGTCAAACTTATATTATTGTGAATTTGAATGCTTCGCCTTCCTGTTGAGTTGGTGCATGTTTCATAGGTTGGAAATGAGAAATTTCACCTTTTCTCCTTGTGTTTTTCACAGGTGTGATAGTATTGCTTTCCTTGGCGTTCCTCATGCCAGCCTTCTACTACATTCCCAAAGCTTCTCTGGCTGCTGTTATCATCTGTGCGGTAGCTCCTATGGTGGATTACCATGTCGTGGCTAAGATGTGGAGGATATGCAGTAGGTGTCTGCCTTTTGCCATTGAAGTGGGTCTTAGCTCTATCCGTCTGTTCAATTGAAGTCTGATGTTCATGTATGTTCCACAGAGCTGGACCTGCTGCCATTTGTCGTGACATTCCTGATGAGTTTCTGGCAGGTGCAGTACGGCATCATAGGGGGTGTGGCTGTATCTGGAGCCCTGTTGTTGTACAACATGGCCAGACCCCAGATAAAGGTAGGGAAATATTCTGCAAGTGAGAGTGTGACACTTTAAGGAAGAATCAGCTGTGAAACATAAACAGCACAAGTTTTGCTTTTGTAAAGGCGCAACAGTAACTTGCTTGGGTTAGAAGCATTTTCACTGATAAATTACCAAAGGTAGTTTGTGGGCACCCAAATTGTTGGATCATCCAATAACTAGCCAGACTTCCAAATGAAATTCTGCATGAAGTTAAATTCAAGGTGAGCTGTAAATTACAGTTCTCAGAATGATCATAGACAAACGTTTTGTTGGTGGTGTTATTTTAATGGTAGGAAAACCAGACAAAATATCCATTCTGCAGAGGAATAATACAAGAATCTTGCTTGAACCACAGGAGGAACACTTCTACTCTGGCCTGCACTTTATTATGCACACCCCTCTTCCTACTGGGCACAGGTGTATCATCAGTGTGGTGACTTCAGAATACGAGTACATATTAACAAAACTTTATATTACAGTTCAGCAACCCCTGTTTGTTCTTATATTGTCCAAGTTATATTTGTACATCAATCTTTACACATCTCACTTCTGTGTTTTGCAGCTGACATTCCAAACAAATAACTCGTAACTACTGTATCTGACTTTGAACTTTGTTACAGGCTTAGTCATAAAACCGTGGATGAGTAAGGGATTACAGAATGCATGTAAAAAGAAGAATGTGTTATATAAGGAATTCATAAAGGACAGATCAAAGAAGGCGGAAGAAAAATATAAGTCATATAAGAACAAATTAATTGAGATTTTGAGGAGGTGTAAGAAACTATATTACTCTAAAGTATTAGAGGATAATAAAAATAACATGAGAGGTACTTGGAATATATTAAATAAATTGAT